ATCCTAAGGCGACTGATTACATGATTTAGTAAACAGGTTATATTATATAATGCAATTAAAGCGGGGCTCCGCGGCGCCACCTACAGGCCGCTTCCGGGAAGGGAGCTGGGCCAGGGACTGATTTTGGACCAGGCTCTCCGCCGCCCAAGGAAAATAAACGGGATTGCGCCAGGGTTGAGGCGACTGCTCCGGAGGGAGACGCTGAAGCCAGCTAGGTTACTAATGCAGCCTCTTGGTCCCTCCTGCTGAGTTCACAGTGTTATTTCAGCCTCCTGCAAATCCGTCTAGACGTCAGAACCCAGGCCTGGGCAGCTGCTCAGAGGGCAGACCTGGGGTTGGGGGAGGGGGTGGTAACCACCTGGGGGCTTTGGGGCTGGGGGCGCTGAGGAGGGCTCCGGCTCTCTGGCGTCAGGGACCTCCTTCCCTCACTCTCAGATGAGGGAGCCTTTGGAATGAAGCTACAAGCTTCAACTATTTCCACCCTGTTCCCCAAAGCTTGTGTTGAGTGCTACCTGTGGGCAAAGACTTCCAGAATGTTCTGCTGCAGTCCTTCAGTTTGCAGTCCGAGAGGGAAAGTGACCTGTGCACGTCACAGAGCAGTGGCAGCGCGGGCGGGGTGTAGAATTCAGACGTTCTCTCAGCACAGGCTCCATCTGATCATGGGAGTTTACAGATGAGGACGTCGAGGCCTAGGCAGGAGAGGGAACTTCCACAGCCTCTGCTTGTAGCAGGGAGGGAGAGTAACAAAAGGCTGCGTGCGTGCGTGCGTGTATGTGTGTGTGTGTGTGTGTGTGTGTAGCTGCCCTGACACGGGAGGGAGGGAGGTGGGCAGGCCCAGGGCCAGGGCTCCCTCCCCTAACCCCTCTGCCTGAACTACAGCTCTCTTCAGGTGAGTTGGGCTCTGGGCCCTCAAGGATTCTAGCTTCTCCAAAGAGGTTTCTTCAGAGTGGCAGTGTCACAAGAAAACCTGTTCGGGAGAGGAGAGGAGATTGACCTCCCAGGGCTAGGAGAGAAACGGGACCAGAAGAGGAGGGGAGGAGAAGTGACGGAGGGAGGGAGGGATAGAAAACATGGCCTTCAGAGTCCAAGAGGGTGGAAATGTCCCCCCGGCCCCTGCCCAGTGCTAACCACCTGCCCAGTCTCCAGTCTGGGGTGACAGGGCTGGACAGTGAGGAGCCGCGGGGAGCTGGGCCCTCCCCCCCCCCCGCCCACCTCAGTCCCTACAGGGTAGGCCCAGCCGGGGTCAGGGGGCAGGAACAAACGCTGTGGGGCCAGCTGGCCGCAGAGTTCCCAATTAGACTTTGTTTCTCATCCTTAAGGCCGGGAGCCCCCAACCCCAGCACCCCAGCCCAATTACTGCGGGGCAGCTTAACCCCTTGGTGCCCCAGGCCGTTAATGGAATGTTAATTGGTCTAATGGGTTTCATGTCAACAAGTCCTAATGAGCTCCTGCCTAACGAGCTTGGTCGTTTTTCCCTAAGCCTGTTTGTCAACACACTGGAGCTTGGGCTTCAGACCCAGGGCCTCACCTTGTGGAGCTGGGGACAGAGCTGAGGAGACAGAGGGAGAGGGTGCTCTGGGCTGCCCCTGCGTCGGTCCTACAGGGGCGCCCTTCCCGCCCCCTCAGCCACCCCCTGCCTGTGCACACTGCCTCACTCGGCTGGCTCCTGAGCTCTGGGAAACGGCAGTTTTAGCTCCTTTTGATGATAATATCAGTGACAAATTATTTCTTCTTGGACATCATTGTGAGGTTGTGTTGCATCAGGCTTTTCCCTCTCCTAGCTGCCATATAATAAAGGTTTTCAGCATAAAAGCAACCTTTTGACGTGACAGAAGCCTCTCCTCCATGGGAAGTTTCTCTGTGGTAAAGGGTTCCTCGGGCGTCCTCGGTTTACAGTCTTGGCTGTGCTCCCTCGAGTGCCCTGGTGTCTGGTGACAAAGGGCCGGGGCCTCCGGACAGGGCGGAGCAGCCTCTCGGCCACAGACAAGTGCTCAGAAGCCCTGGGCAGGCCTGCTGCTCCCCTCCACACTCCTAAAGAAGGTGCAAAACTGGCAGGTTTCCCCCGAGGGCTGGGGGGCCAGCTGTTTGTTCTCCAGGAGTCCCCACACCCCAGCTGTGGATTCCCAGCCAAGTGTCAGGCAGGAGAAGTCAGGTCCCCATGTTCCCTTCCAGGATGGTTCCACCTGGACCCCCAGCCCGCCCGAGCCCAGGTGATGGGAGGAGCCAGGACCTGTGTGGGCAGAGGTGGGTGAGGAAAAGAGCGAGCTTCCAGAGATGGTGATGGGCACCGAGTCTCCTGAGGCATCAGGTCACCAGAGGCATCTGTGCTTGAGCAAGCAGAGAGGGGAACTTAAGCCCCTGATGAAAAGGCCTCCTGTTTCCTTGCAGAAGCCCCCAGAGGGCAATAGGGGCAGTGGCCTAGTGGCCTGTGATGACCCCATAGAGGGGGAGGGGAGGGGCAAGGGCCATCTGGGGCCTCAGAAAATTGTTCCCATGTCCTCTGGCCCCTGCTGCACAGCCCAGCAGGCTCCAGACTGAAACATCTCCTCTCAGCCTGGACAGTGGTTGTTTCTGGGAGCAAACTACACTTTGCCATCTCTGTTTACCCCAAGTAGGGCAGCTCCCCAGCTGCTGCAAGTATTTCTAGGGACAAAGACTAAAATGACCCTACCTCCCATTCATTGGACAGTGAACAAAAGAATGCAGACTAGAGTCCTCTGCTTAGCCCAAATCCTTCTCATTCAGCTTCCTGTGCTTGGCCTTCACGATGACTTTCTCCTCTGTGGAATGAGTTACCAAAAGACCCAAACCCGAGGTGGAAGGGACCCAGTTGCCCCTAAAAGGGGAGAAAACGCGCCGCCAGACTCTGCCCTCAGGCTCCCCCTTCTGGAGGCAGCTGGCACTACAGCCCCACAGCAGTTGCCTCTCTGGAAGGGATCTTGCCTTCGGGACCCGTGGACCCCATCCAAATTTACCTCATCTGCCAGAGGTCCATGAAGGGCTGAGCCTAGAACACCCCTGAAATACCCCTATTTCTTTTATTCCCTCAGGGTCCAAAAGAGAGATTTCCACACCCATCTTGGTATCTCAGAAGTCTTTACTCTGGAAGTTCTTCCCGGTGTCTCAGAGTCTCTATCCTCTCCCCTCCCCCAACCTCTTCACTCTGCTCTCGCCTTCCTTGGGTATTTCCCACCTCCCAGACAAGACCCAGCCGTGAAAACTAGGCGGTGGTCAGTGAGGCGCCCCTCAGGGCCCCCAGCCGAGCCCCTCTGTGGCAGTAAAGCCTGGATCTCGGTGCCTGGTGTGTGTGAGCTGGGGCGAGCCTGAGTGCTTCTGTAGCAAAGACATCCTGGCAGTCCAGCTTCTGAAGTGAGGCCGGGGGGGGCGAGGCATAGGTAGCAGTGAGGCCAAGAGGAATTCTCTGCAGTGATGGTGTTTTCAGCACAGGAAGTCATCCCTCCCTCTGCCTTCTCCACTGGAACCTCTGTTCACTTTCTTCCTTCCCGCTGGACCATCACCTCCCTTCTTGGAGAGAAGACTTGCCTCTTTCTGTCTGTCCTCCCACACCCCCACGTGCACTTCAGGTCAAAGCACACCTGGTACTTCAGAGGCTCAGATCAACCAGAACTGACATTTCTTCCTCTTCCTGAAAAAGAACTAACACAAGATACACACACTTCAACATAGGGCCCTGGGGACCCTCCCTTTGACTTAGGCAGCTCCAAAACACCCTTAAATTCCCAGAGAATTCAGGTATGTGAACATTTTAGAAGACCTTGGGGAGGGAGTTGGGGGGGTACATCAGGCCAGAAGAGGGTGGAGCCCTGGGGTCCTCAGGCGGAGGGGAGCAAGGAGAGGGAGGGTCTGCCCGCCATGCTCTCCAAGGCCCCCTGCTCATCAGCACCTCCCATCCAGGAGAAGGGCAGGCCCTGCATCCCACAGAGGTTCTCAGGAGTCCCCATGTCCCACGATGTACTAGCCTGTATCAGGCAGTTAGCTGTGGTTTCCAGCTCTAAATATTTCAGGGCATCTACTGTAGCTAAACAGCTCTCTCGGCATTCTGTTTCCTTGGGTGGCACTGCCAGGCTGTCTCCACTTGCGGCACCATGTTCAGGAAGAAACCTTGAGGCTAATGGGCCAGCTCGCTTAGGAGTGATGGAGTGGGATGGGGGTGTGGTACAGCAGAGCAGAGCCAAACGGGGAATCGGGAGGTCTCGGTTCCATCCCTGCTTCAAAAGCACCACTCCCCCGCCCCCAACACACACACTTCGCTCCTCTTGGCCTCTGTCTCCTCCTAAGAGGACCACTTGGCGCTGAGGGCTCTTCTGGCCCCACGTGCGGGTGAACTCTGGATTGAACAAAGGCCAAGGGAAGCCGTCTTCCTAGCATGTGCAGGCACACCCACCTGGCTGTGCTCACAGCCCCAGGCTCTCCGGTGTTGCCCTGCCTCTTTCCCTTCCTGGAACACCTCCAAGTCCGGTGGGCTGCTTGCTCCACCCTCCAGTCTGAGGAGGGGACCAGTGCCCACAACTTTCCACCACTAGGGGGTGCAGTGAGCACACCTGGGAGGGGTTAGTGGGCTTGGAGACCCTGGGGCAGGGAGGTGGGATCTGGAGCCGTGAGGGCTGAGGTGGCCCTCCCTCGGGAGGCCCCGGGAAAGAGAAAGCACCCTTGCCTTGTGGGGTGCCCGCATGGCCCCCTAGTACCCTGTGCTGCCGCCAGCCAAGCCCCCTCCCCATCTCCTGCCACCCTCCAACAGCAGGCTGGGGTGGTGCTAAACAAACCAGGGCCATGGGTGCACAGGTTGTTTTACGTATGATTTGAATATTGTTTCTTTCGAGTCAAAATAGCATAGGCAGCCCCTCCCCACCCAGGCTTCTCCCCTAACTCTCATCCAACCCTTGCTGCATCTGGTGGGTATGAGAGCATGTCCAGCCGGCTGGTCCCCAGGGTTCCCTGCGCTCAGCTATTAACGGTGCGGCCCCTTTCTCCTGCCACAGATCCTCCATGTGAATCAACCCCATGATGCAACATGCCTCCCCAGCCCCCGCTCTGACGATGATGGCCACGCAGAATGTCCCTCCCCCACCCTACCAGGACAGCCCGCAGGTGAGTGTGACTGACCGACGGGAGGGGCGCGGTGGCCTTCCCAGGGGCGGAGGGCAGGGCCAGGCCTCCCTTAGCTGGGTCCGGGTCCTGGTCGTCCTGGCCGCTCTCTGGGCTCTTTCCCTGCCAGGCCTGGGGAGGCCTCTCTGGACAGAGCCCAGCAAAACCAGACCCCTGGAGAGAGTTCTTGCATTTGACAGAGCACCAGGCTCAGGTCCTACCTGAGTACCTGTGAGCGGTGTGGAGGACTGTTGCCTGGAGCATCTAGTCCTGGCCCTGTGCCACCGCCCCACTTCCCACTCAGATGTCAGACAAATGCGCCCAGCCCCTCACTCGGTGAGGCCCAGGTGCAGGTGAATCGAGTCTGTGTTTTCTTGATTAGAGTTTCCTTCGCACCAGATCCCCCCTAGTCACTGGTCTCGGCCTTTCTTTTGGAGGACTCTCCCTTCTATCCAGGACAAAGGCCAGGACTGCTTCTCTATACCCTCCGGGCCTTTCCTCTGATTCCTAGTTTCCATCCCTCAGCTCAGACACACCAGCCCCCCAAGTTCTTCCGAGACCCCCAGCCTGGCTGCAGCTACCCTCCACCCCTCTCCTGTTCTGTCCTGCCGAAAGCCGGGCCCAGCTCCTGTGGGTGGGGCTCCGCAGTCTGTCTCTCCTGATCTTTGCTGCCTCGTGCGCACCCCTCCCCGTCCAAGCGCCGTTCTCTACGACTCAGTGTCAGTCACAAGGCTGTGCTCGCACAGAAGGCTCCACCTTCACACTCTCCTGTGTTCTCAACTGGTATTACCTGAAGCTCTGTCATGTGAAATGCAGCTAGAACATTCCTCCATTCATTTCACAGGAGCGCAGTGAGCGCGACTGTGTGCCCGGCTGTTGTTCTCAGTCGCTACTCTTTGCCCTGCACTGATGTCCCTCACTTACCAGCGACTCAGACACAGCCGTTCTCCTACCACAGGGATGGTCTGTGCCGCAGGGAAAGGACGTGAAGAGGCAAACCCAGGGCGCCTCCCATCAGGTCCTGGGGCCCTGACACCCCCAACCTGGTGTGAGCATACGGTAGCTGCCCTATCCGCCCTTGTCATCCCCCCATGAAATGGCCACTTTACAGGGCGTCCAGCACGCGGCCATCACTGCCTCCTCTCCCTGCACAAGTCCAGAAGCACTGACCTTCCAGCACGTGTCCTTTTGTCCCTGCCCCCCATCCCCGCTCCCACACACCAGCTCCGTGCTCCTGCCTCCGCTCTCCCCGGCCTCACTGCAGGTTCAGCAGACCATCTGCTCTTGTCAGTAGCTTTTTACAAATGACCGTGGGTCAGACCGGGCATTTGCACAGTCCCTCTGTTTGAGCTGTGCCAGGGCTGTTCCCTCTGCAGTCAGAAGGAAGTTCAGAAGGAGCCCTGGACCAGTGGAGGCCCAGGAACCTAAGGGCTGTGCTGGGGGCATGCCCCAGACCCATCCCCCGCCTGCTCAGGCAGTTTTGAGGGAGAGGCAGGAACTTGGCTCCGTCTCCTTGGTAGCTGGAGGCCATGGGGCATAGGGAATGGAAATGGGGAGCCTGTCTGTATTTAGCAGGTGATGGGTGCCAAGGCCCACACCCCCCCGAGCCCAGGCCCAGGGACTGACCAGGGTATGGCCAAGAGGTCAGAGAGCAGAGCCAGCCGCTGCTGCCTCTCTGCCTCCGGCCCCAGCCACTGTTTTGCCTTCCTGGGCGGCTGGGGAAGTTTGGGTTTGGCGGGGATTCCCCGGAGAGCTGCAGCAAGGGCCTGTGCTGTCCGGGAAGGCTGATCCTGTGTAGTTAAGTGGAGGAGCCTCATCTAATGCTCAGCACACAGCTGGGAAGTGATCCATCCCAGCTGCCGAGGGAGGCGGTGGAGGGGGTGCTGTGGCCCTAAGGTGCGCTGCCCCCTGGAAGCTACCACCAAGCTGCTCTAGCCTTTTGGGGGAGGAAGGGAGGCTCCAGTTCCCCACCTGGGGCCTCAGAGCAGAAGCCCAACACAGGGACTGTCCCAAGGCTCTCCTTTCTGAGGAGTCGTTGGAACTTCACCATCAAAAATACCCACATTTACATACAGCAAAGGAATAATTTGCCCTGGGGAAGCCACACATCTTCCCCAGAGGTTCAGGAATGAAGTCTCGGTGTCCACGGTAAAGTGACCAGGCCAAGGTCTGGGGTCTTCATGGCCTCAGCCGGTCCTCTAGGCTGTGGCTGCATTGCCCTGAGCCTTCCCTGAAC